ATTTTAACATTGTTTAAAAGCGTGTTCTACCTCTGATTTCATAATTTCAGGGCCGTCAGTACAATAATTTTGATATAATTCAGTAATATTATTTCTATCATTTCAAACAACTCTGATATATACAGTTGCCATTCTCTTGTTATTAAGTCTCATTTACAATAATTTTGTTGTTATTGTCAACTAGTACATAGGGAACTTATACTCCCTATATATGTTGCTGATTTCTTTTACTTTTTTATACACATTAAAAAAGTTGTGCCTAGATATGACATGCTCAATTTCCTCGCACCTTTTTCTCATCCATTTTTCTTTGGCTAATTTTATCTCCCTTTTAATTCTTCTCTGTAGATGTCTATATTCTGTTTTATTAGATTTTATAAGTCGACGTTGTTCCATCAATTTCAAAATGTCTTCTGTCATCCGTTTATTTTTATTGATTAAGTTTCATCTATAATCATTGTTTGTGGAGATTTTGTTAACTTGGTTTTAAAATTCATTCCATAATTCTTTTGGATCCTCTAGTTGTTGTCCTTCTTCTTTGGGTGCCGTGTCCGTATTCAGACGTTGGCCGTCATCATGTTTACAATTTCCTGAAACCTCTCTCTGTCGGCTGCTGCGCGAAATAATTCTTCTACTGTGAAACCACACCATTGTCTAATATTACGCAGCCATGAAAGTTTCTTTCGACCAATCCATCTCTTTCCTTCCACTTTTCCTTGTATTATAAGGCGAAGTAAATGGTATTTTGGTCCTCTAATTATATGGCCGAAGTATTCTGTTTTTCTCCTCTTTATGATGTTTATGAGCAGACGTTCTGAGTTGATCATTTGAAGAACATCTTCATTGGAGGTGTGCGAAACCCACGATATCTTCAGGATTCGTCTATAGCACCACATTTCGAATGCTTCTAACTTGTTTAGCATTGTGGTTTTTAACGTCCATGTCTCACAACCATACAATAGGATCGACCACACATAACATTTCAGGACCTTCTTACGAATGTTCATTGACAGGTTTCTGGGTCTAAAACTGGTTTCCAGGTCATAAAAGCCTTACGTGATATTTCGATCCTGGATATTATCTCTTCATCAGAGTCACAATTTACATTTAACCAGCTGCCAAGGTATTTGAAATGATTTACCCTTTCTATCTCTTCTCCATTAAGAGAAAGCAGACCTTGGTCTATATGGATCTTTCCAACTGCCATCCACTTTGTCTTTGAAATGTTGATTTTTAGGCCTCTCCGATAACTTGCTTCACTGACTAGATTTAGTAATGTTTGGAGATCTTGTAAACTTTCTGCAAGAATGGCTGTATCGTCAGCGTATCTAATATTGTTGATTACTTCTCCACCTAGTCTTACTCCCTCTTGTCTGTCATCCAAAGCCTCCCTAAAGATTTCTTCAGAGTACAGATTAAAAAGAGTGGGTGACAAAACACAACCCTGTCTTCTTCTTAGAGTGCCGTCTCCCTACGGAGGTTGGCAATCATAATGGCTATTCTTATTTTAGAACCTGCTGCTCTAAACAAATCAATCGATCTGCATTGGTACCAATCACGTAGATTCTTTAACCATGAGTTCTGCCTTCGGCCAACAGATCTTCTTCTTTGAATCTTTCCCTGTATTATCAGTCTCAAAATTTCATATTTTGGTCCCCTCATCACGTGGCCTAGGTATTCCAGTTTTCTGGTTTGTATAGTGGTGATTAGTTCTGTTTCTTTACCAACCCTCTCCAGTACTTCTTTATTTGTAATTCTATCAGTCCATGATATTTTCAATACTCTGCGGTATAACCAGAGTTCGAAGGCCTCGATTCTTTTTAAATTACATTTTTTTAATGTCCAAGTCTCAGCTCCATATAATAATATTGAAAATATATAACAGCGAATGGTACGTAGTCTGATTATATATAACAGCGAATATGAAATGAAATATATAACAGCGAATGGTACAACCCTGTACGGGTACCCTAACCTAATACCCCTACGGGTACGGGTTAGGTTTGGTACTCTAACCTAACCTAACCTAACCCCGTACTCCACGTTTGATGGGTATTTTTTCAGTGGGACTGTCTCCAATTTGGATACAGGCTACTTGATTGTAATATAAGTATTTCAGCAGTCTTATATCATAGTGGTCAAGTCCCGCTGCCCGTAGGCAGTCGAAAAGTGTATTGTGTTGGACTCTGTCGAACGCCTTCTCGAAGTCGATGAAACAAACATAAACATTCTTTCGGAATTCACAACTTTTTTGTAATAGAACGCGCATACAGAATAGTGCCTCTCTAGTTCCTAGACCGTTTCTAAATCCAAATTGCTTATCACCCATCTTACTTTCGCATAGAAGGAATACTCGGTTTTGTATAATTGGTAAGAGTATCTTCAGTGTGTGACTCATCAAACTGATTAGTCTAAAATCGCTGCATTTGGTGGGCCTGCTTTTCTTTGGTAATGTTATAAACAGTGACTCTAACCAATCATCTGGTATTTTTCCTTCGTTGTAAATTTTGTTGAAGAAAGTGGTTAAGCAGGCAATGCTTTCCTCATCCAAAAGTTTAAGTAGTTCGGCAGGGATTTGATCTGGTCCAGGTGCTTTATTGTTTTTGGCTTGCTGTATTGCCTTTTCGACTTCCGAATTCAGTATATTGGGACCTCTGTCCAACTGGTTGTCATAGGCAGTATTTGGAGCATTTTCCCTAGAAGCATCGTCAAAAAGGTCAGTGATGTATCTCTCCCTTTCTTTGCACTGTTGTTCGTGATCACAAATTTTTCCGTCCGCGCTGTTAAGTATGTGAGCATTTTTCTGTTTTCTAATTCCGGCAGTATATTTAAGTTTCTTATGCAGGTTGAAGCTGTCATGCTTTTTTTGGAGGCCTTCTATTTCTTTACATAAATTCTCAAGCCAGGATTCTTTGGCTTGCTTAATTTTTCTTTTTATGCGTTTATTAATTTCACGATATTCGATAATATTTCTATTTTTGTGTTGCCGTCGAAATTCCATCAGATCTAGAATTTCTTGTGTCATCCACTCATTTTTTGCCAACATGGTAGGTGTTTTCAAAGACTCTTGTACGTTCTCTAAAATCGAGTTTTGAATGGCATACCAGCATTCGTTAATGGTTCTGTTTTCGTTTGGTATATTTGATATTCTGTGTATTTTACTATTTATTTGCTGTGTTATGTGTTCGCGCGTTTGAGGGTTTTTCAGGAGGTCGAGATATATCTTACAAGGCTTAGTTGGCTTTGTTAATTTCTTCAATTTAATTTGTATTTTGGAGCAGAGTAAATTGTGATTTGAGTTTATGTCAGCGCCGGGGTAAGTTTTTACATCTTTAATATTGTTTCGAAATCGGTGGTTTATTAGGATGTAGTCTATTTGATTCCGTACTATTCTGCCTTGATGTCCATCTTGAGGGGATTTCCACGTGTAAAGACGCCTTTCTGGAAGTTGAAACCAGGTATTTGTAATGGCGAAGTTATTTTCTTGGTAGAATTCTATTAGCCGTTCACCTCTTTGATTTCTCTCTCCCAAGCCAAACTTTCCGGTGATGCCCTGCGTCATCTTCTGTCCAACTTTAGCGTTAAAGTCACCCATAATTATTATTGCTTTGTGTTTCTTTGTTATTTTTAGCACTTCTTCTATTTGATGGTAGAATTCTTCAATATTCTGCTCATCTGCGTCAGCAGTGGGAGCATAAACTTGAATGATATTTATATTTACAGGTTTAGCATTCAGCTGTATTAAAATTACTCTGTCTGATATTGGGATGAAGTTAGTGACATACTTATTAATATGCTGTTTGATAATTATTGCTACTCCATTTCGATGCATATGGTCTTGATTTCCAGAAAAATAAACGGCGTAACCATTTGCACTGAAATTCCCTTTGTTTGGCCATCTTGTTTCACTCGCCCCCATGATAGTAATGTTTAATCTGTCCATTTCAGAGAGTAGATTTCTCAACTTACCGGCTTCATATAAGGTTGTTACATTCCATGTAGCCACTTTGTATGGATTCTTCATTTTCATCGTATGTCTAGTGATGTTTTGCTCACAGGGATTTCGCTGGCTAGCGACCTGGGAAGCCCTGTGGTTTGATTGTGTATTCCTTCCCCTGCCGGATCTTGAGTTCCGCAGCCCATGATCAGTAGTATTCGTTACACTCATTGATTCCATGATAACTTTACTAGGGATCATAATGGGGTGGTTTCCAGTTGCCTTCCCCATCGCAGTATCACAGCCGCTTAACTCATAATGTGAGTGACGCCTGTGAGTATCTGGAATAAACCTACAGGATTTTTACTTCCCACAGCCTTAATCCAGTAATGACATTACTGCTGCCTAATGTCATATCCTCAGTTGATCCGCGGGTACTAATTTGGCAATGCCTTATTCGTACCTGTCCTGCATATCTGCAGGAACTTTCCCTATCAGCCATATGGGACGTGCCGTGTCGAGGTTGAGGACATCCCTCGCCCAGTCTGTCTTCCGTGAAGTACAGAAGAGCCCCTACTCAGTTCAGAGCTCCTCCTCCACGAAAGCTAGACCGGCCATGGAGTTGTTGTCCGATGCTCTTTATTCTATTGTTAAATCCTTTGTTATCTTTTATGCTTATGGGAATGCTTTGGCTCATGGAGATTACTAATATTTATTTCTATTTCTCTGTTACTATTTTGTAACCCTACTTCATTGAATATTTTAACTAGAAATAATTTTACTCTGCGAGATAAGTTTTAGATCATATGCGACTTGATCTAAATCAGCAGCTGAATTATTCGATTTTTTTATTGCAAACTCTAGTTCATTGTAGCCAATTGGATTATTGAAAAGTGAATTGGGGATTGGTTAATACTACATAATTCTTCAAAATTATTTCATACGTAATTGAGTGCAATTTTTTGAAAAAAAAGTTTGTACCAATCGAAAGTTTCACATTTATTACAAGATACTGTTTATATAATCTACCGTTTGTAATATTATATTTTTGTTTCATTTTTAGCAAGCGAGAAATCGAGATCTTCCTAGATACGATGCCAATAACCAAACTCTCGATGGTAGGACGTCGACTATTAACGATTCTAGTTGTTGTAGCAGGCTACAGTAGTCTCTAGGAGTGCGCTTTTTAGCTCAACAGTAAGAAATGTTTTTAACTATTTTGTAGAGATTGTTGATTTTTGTAATGTTTAACGAAATTACTTTTCATGATCAGACAAATTATACATAAGAAAGACGCTTTGAAAATGACATTAACAAAGCAAATTATTAAATAAATGAACAAAATATTTCTCTGCACCTAAATTGACACAAAGAATGATTGAATTTATGTCCTTATTTCTCTGTATGCATATTTTTTCCTAGTAAAATACACTGCGCTCCAAAATTAACGCATAATTTTAAAATTCTTATTTTGAGTTGTAATGAAAAAAATTTTGTTTGTTCTTTTCTGCTTTATGGTTGTTTTAGAACATCTTAAATAAAACTATTCTTTTTTTACAAAAAATGTATTGAAATTAACAATATAACATCCTAACATAAATCATAACATCTAAACGAACTGATCTAAACAAACTAACATCATAAACTAATGAAGAAAAAGTTTTTAAAGTTGAAGAAAATACTACTACCGTGTACTAGTATCGAGTATTGCCTCCTCTGGCATTTATTACTGCTTGACAACGATCTCTCATACTGAGAATAATCGTTCTGATTTCTTCTTGATCAATTTGATCCCAAATTTCAACCAACCGCAAAAACAGTTCATCTAATGTGTTTGGTGCATTAGGTAGTTTTCGTAGTCGTCTGCCTATGATGTCCCAAACATGTTCTATTGGGTTAAGGTCAGGACTTATCGCAGGCCAATCCATGGCAGGAATTCCAACCTCCTGACGATACTGCTGCACAATTCTTGCCGTGTGTGGCCTGGCATTATCTTGCATAAGCATGAAATTATCCCCAATAAATGGTACAAATGGCACGACATGCTCTTCTAAAATGTCTGTTATATACCTCTGCGATGTAAGCCGACCGTGATTTATTTTAACTAATTCCGTACGAGCCTCTAACTTAATCCCACCCCATACCATTACCGAGCCGCCGCCATACTGTACAGTCTCTACGGTGTTACACTGTGCGTAGCGTTCCCCAGGCCTTCTATACACTCGATTTCTCCTGTCATCAGAAAAAAGACAGTACCTGGATTCATCGGTGAACAATATTCTTCCTCAATCGTCACTATTCCAATCAACATGTTCACGAGCAAAATTCAATCTTTGCCTTCTATGGTCTCTGGTCAATAATGGGCCAATTGGTGCCCTTCCAGGGTGTAGGTCGTTTTCGGCAAGTCTTCTTCTAATTGTATTTTGGCTGATTCTAAAGTTATAACGATCCAAAAATTCATTTTGTAGAGAAGTACTGGAAACAAACCTTTGTCTCAGTGTACGAAGTGTCAAAAACCGGTCTTGATTAGGAGTTGTAACCCTTTCACGGCCTTGACCGGGTCTTCTCGAGTTACTTCCAGTAACAGAAAAACGTGTTAACACTCTTGAAATTGTTGACTGGGTGACGTTAAAACGTTCAGCGAGTTCTACTTGAGTGTATCCAATGACGTTTGAGTGTATCCTTCTTCGCGAAGAGTAACGATTCTAAAACAGTCACTTTCTGACAAATTTCGATTTTCTTGCTGCGGGTGGTTCATTTCAAAGAAAAAACACTTAATATACTTGAAAAACCCCTTTAAACGTTCAGCACAACGAAATCCAACCCAACTAAATTCGAAATAAAATGAAGCACAATTAGCATGTTTTTAATTTTTTGCAAAAAAATGATAAAAACATCAGCGTTTTTTACCGTTCTTTCGATAAATTTTACAATATACCGGGGATAACGATAATATATTAGCACAAAAATCGAAACATTAAAATTATTTAATTTACCAGGGTTTTTAAAATTATGCGTTAATTTTGGGGTGCAGTGTATTTCAACATGTACACATTTTGAAATAATTCACTTGCGAATTATACTTTGTCAGCGGAGGTGCTGTGGTGCGTTTAGTAATAAGCTTTGTGAAAATTGTCGCTATGTCAATCTGTGTAGACCGTTTTTTGTCTGACTATGAAAACAGCTTGTGCAGCTACTACTTATGTCTTTTAATGACTGATTTTTTCTTCATTTTTATGATTTATTGATCTACTTTATACCTGACTAGTCCTTATTAATTAAGTAATAAATAAATAAATATTTGTTTTTATTATAAATAAGAGTAATTTTGAGATACGATATTAAAACTTTATTATTATTATGTCTAGGTTGTATATGAGGACCTTCTTGAGCACAAATTTTAAGATTATTATTATTGAGAATATTTTTAGAAAAGTCAAGCAAAAAGGAATTTTATATTGTGAAGTTTTATGTTTTGGAGCCTTTTCTTAATATCCTCGTCTTTTTTGTTGTTTATTGTTCTTTAAATTTGCGTTCTAAGTGTGGATTTATTTTATTTTTGTTTTGTTTTGTTTTACGGTCCTTGAATTTTATTTGTTTTTTGTTGCTTTTTTATTGTTTAACTTTCTCCTCGTTATTGCTTTTACTTTAATTTCCCATTTGAGGTAGTTGTTATCTGCTTGTATTACCACAGATGATCATAACATCGTTATGGTTTTTCATGGTATTACTAATTATGGGTTTACATTATGTTTAAATCATCAACGCAACCTACAATCCCTTTAGACCAATTAAGTTAGTAAAAAATAAATCTTTTTTCGTCACAACTGTATAGACCGGTTTGACAGTTGAAATGTGTAGTATGAGATATTACCAAAGACTCTCATCTAGGGAAGAAGAAATCCTAGAGAATAAGAAGAAGAGTGTGAAACGAATGTAGCATTGGATAGCTGGAAGTGTCTACTCTTCCAGTACAAAAACACGTTTTTGTCGCTGTATTAGTATTTTTTCTGTAGAGGTTATAAAATAACGTGTTTTTTTCTCGTACCGATAACAGTGACGAAAAACATGAGCATCGGATTAATGTGATATTTCTCGTTAAATTAAAAAAAAACTCCGACTGAGTGATATAATTGGTTGAAAGAGGCCTGTAGTGAGAATTCTCTATCACGTGCGCGTGTTTTCGAATGGTATAAATGGTTTTCTGTAGGCCGAGAGAGCGCCGAAGATGACCAACGTCCAGGTCGACCTGTCCCTGTTTCAACTCCGCAAATAGTGACCAAAATAAATGAAATTGTGAGCAGAGATCGTCGTATGATCATTCGAATGATTGCTGAGACTGTAAATGCCGATAAAAAACTGTCAGAAAAATTTTACATGACGAATTGAACATGAAGAAAGTCTGTGCGAAGTTGGTCTTGCAGTCTTGTTAATTAATAGCCAGACCTTCTATTTTTAAATAAACAATCAAAACGATAAACTCGTTATTTTGCTCATAACTTAAATTTTTTTTTTAATTTTGAGAGATTTTCCGTCAACAGACAACTTTTTTGGAGAAAAAAATACACAAAATGAGATATGCTAAATTAAAATCGGTTAATAAATAAAAAAGTTATAGTAATTTGAACAAAAAAATGGTTGTTTTTGAAAATTGTTAATAACTTTTGTATTGTTTATTAAAATTTGTTTAAATGTACTTTAACTTGAGGGACCTGTACGAACTCATCTGTATATCCCCCCATAAAATTATTAGACCCTCCGAGATATAGTAATCTGATCACCGGAATCGTTTGGAGATAGGTAAACTGATCATCGCAGATAGGGAAACTCATCACCAGCATTTTTTACCCAAGGCGCTGGTTTCTAATGCGGAAGATTTCCTGTTACACTTCTCGTTTATGTGGTAATTTCTTACCTTAAGAAACCATTTTAGGCAAATTGCTTTAAAATAAATAATAATATCGGATTTCTTACGGTATCGCGTGTATTAGACGTATCTGCCAATCTAAACGCTTTTGAGATCTGAAAATTCAGTTACATAGATTTTCGATAATGAACTTTATAATAAAAATATTTATCAGCATGTGCTGTTTTCGTTTATATCTGAAATAGTTCCCGATTAAAAACTTAAGTAATTAGAAATCTATTTATTATACAGAATAGTTTAAAATTCTTAAGTACAGTTTCCTGTCTTTTATAAAGGGTCAAAGCCTATTTGAGGAAATATTATCTTGTGAAAACAGCAAATAAAAATTAAAAAATTAAAATGGCTTAAAAACTTGGAACATGGAACTGAATTTAAAATTGTTCGCCAATATGAAAATGAAGAAAACTATATAAATTTGAAACGTTACAAACTCTATATGGGTAGACAAAAGAAAATAAATAATATTTGTATGTACTAAGAATCAATAAAAAACTCTCCTATTTTTTTAAGGTGAGAAATTGAAAAAAAAAATGGGTTTTGACTTTCATAATAATAATGAGCGTAGAATTTTAAAAAAGAATCATTTTATTTGCAGTACTTTTACATGTGAAAAAATAATTTATTGGTTAAGTCAAAAAAATATTTGGATCTTCAGCTGGTACTGCAAAACTTATTATAAGAGTACTATTGCAATTCTACACAGAAACTCAGTTATTTATGATTTTCCAATCCTGGCACTTCGAGTATTTATCAAAAATGTCTAGAAAGAGAAATATAAAGTATTTCTTAAAAAACTTTAAAGTACAATATTGACATACATCTGTGTTTATTAAACTTCTAAATATGCAGGATGTTTCACTCTACGAACGAGTCGAACAAGTTCACAAAAGGCAATTCGATTTTAGAGTATTTCGCAATTGAAATTTGAAATGATTGATATCTATCATTTTCGTCCATGTTGGCTCAAAACGTAATCAATGAGCATTTCACTATCCATGTTAAAGGAACAAGGGCAAATGATAGCTATCAATAGAATTTTGAGTAATTCGCAAATAAAAACCAATGAATTACATTTGCATTTAATACATCTATTTTAGATTTATTCTGTCAAATTACAAAATCTTAGCGGTTTGCATGGGGATTCTATACTTGCCATGGGGTGCAGGTAGGCCAGTGATGAGTTTACCAATCTCTTGAGGTCTATTTTCAAATCCCTACTTTTATGCCGGTGATTTTGTACT